ATCTCTCCAATTATTAACTCTTTGTTCTCTGGTTTCTTCCCATAATTTTTCTTCTTCTGCTTTCCTTTTCTTTTCCCTCTCAACTTGTTCAGCTTTTTGAGCTGCCAATCCTTGTGCTTCCAATTCTCTTTTTAATAATTTCCGACGACGTAATTCTTGTTCTATTAAAATGTCTTTAGTTTTTTGTTTAATTTGTAGATTAAATTCGGGTGTGTTTATGAATGGGTCTGTAGATTTTAATTTTTGATCTGTAATTAAAGTTATCTTTGCTTCTTCAATGATTGTTAAAAGAAGTTGTCGTGATTTTTCATTAGATAATTCCGTTTCAGCCTGAAATTAAAAAAAATGAATTTACACTCCGCAGTAAGAAATATACATGTTCATAATAGTATAACTTATAAATTGCAATTTTATTAATTTAAATTCACACCTTTTTCAATAATGCGAATGCTTCTTGCGCTTTTGGATGTTTAGTTTTATCTGGGTGAATAAGTAATGATTTTTTTCGATAAGCATTTTTAATATCTTTTTCTGTACAATCCGGTGCTAGATCAAGAATGTCAAAAGGATTCAGTTTAAACGCTGAAAGGATACGTTCTACTTCTTGATCCTTTTGTAGTTGTGTAGCTTCAGTTGCGAGATATTTGTCAATGTCAAGATCTTCAGACATTACTAAAAAGTTTCATAGATATAAATAAACACTAAAAGAATAATGTAATGGAATAAAGGTAAAATCGATGTTTAAATTTGAAATGTCATTTTTTTTTTTTAATAAACTATTTATAGTCCGTGTAACAAATCTTCGGAGATGACGAGCGGAATTTATATATAAATTTTCAGAGTATGATGCACCATTCATTTTTTGACACGTTTTTTACGAATGATAATAAAATGACTGACAGATTAAAGTTTTCGAACTTCGAACTTGTTATACTTTAATACTCTAATAATAATTATACTTAGGTAAAATGAGGCGATCCGCCATTTTTTTCGTCCTAGGTCTTTTGGCTTTAACCACTCTCACTTCAGCTGAAATATACTTAAAAGAAACGTTTTCCGACGATGACTGGGAAAAGAAAAGGAAAGCAGAAGAAGAAAAATTATGGGAAGAAACCAGAGAACAAAGAGTTAATAATTGGAGAGAT